GTCTCTTTGGAAACTTAAGTCTGTCCACTAGAATTTGAAATAAAGGTCTGTGGGTTTGAACAGTGCTTGGCCGAACAGCTTGAGCTTGTATTGACTGACTCATCAGTGGCTCTGCAGGGTTTAAGAGCTTAAAAGTGCAATCATGCAGCAAACACACTGCAGCAGAATATATTGTGATTATACATATTTGCATAGAAACAATCGGAAACATATAATCACACATCTGTATGCCCTCCATCGTTTGATAGAAAATGGGAATTTGCATGCACACAAGTGTTTTAATTGATCTCAGAAATAGTAGCTGTACATTCACTAGCTGTTCTGGAGCTTTTGATACAGTCTTCCTCAGCAGACAGAGCTTGTCCTATTGTCCTGTTGCTGTCTGTGTTCAAATATCCCGTTTCCAAGGTCATCGATGAACCTTCAGTCTCAACTTTTAAGCCACCATGGGGGCATAAAACTGGAAATTACTAACATGTGTTTCAAATAAATTCTATTTTAATTAAAGGCTAAATAATTGAAACACCTCTCTGTATAATGCAAGACAGTTTCAACAGCACCACAAACTACATCCTCTAAAATGACCATGAAGTTCAACACCTCTCTGAAACAGTTTAAGCAGACATTATAACCTTCATGAAGGTTGGATTTATTGCAGGACTGTTGTACCCTGCATTAGCTAGGTGTACCTAATAAACTAGCAACTGAGTGTGGTTGTGGTGGCACAAAAGCGTGCTCGTACATAGCCGTAATGTGCTCGTAGGTGAGCACAAAGAAACTTCCCCCTTCAGAAGGTGAATTTGGAAAAACCCTCTGGTTGTCCAACTCTGCACATACATCATTCTGCACAGTGAAGGGCAAACATGTAACTGAAGTAACAATTAGCAAAACATATTTTTGAGTGGAGGGGAGTTTTAACCTCTACTGTAATGAAGGTGGGGGTTAAAAATCATCTCAAAATACACTTTTTTTCCGAGTTGTGCCACTTCTACCTGTCTTCCATCCGTCATCTCACCTCCCCTGAAGAGCTCTCGTGTTGAGAGAGAAAGGTCTGAACAGCAACAAACCTACCTGTCTTCATGACATCCCCACAGCATATGATATGAGCTTATACACGGTATCTGACATGAGTGTAACATGATGAGACACACACACACACACACACACACACACACACACACACACACACACACACACATACACACACACACACTGACAGTATCTTACATGAACAGTGTCCATGTCTCTACTCATTTCTCTCTCTGTGAGTCAGAGATGTTTTGCACAGAGTTGAGACCACAATACATCACTTCCATTTTAGTTCACACTCTGAGGGGCTGTGGGCGGCATGAGCGTGTGCGCGCGCGGAGAGAGAGAGAGCAAGAGGGCAAAAGGGAAAGAGACAACTAGTGTGCATGTGTGTGTGTAATTAATTAGCCTAAGCTCGCCGCTGTTGGTTTCCGAGTGGCTGCAGATTGCCACACTAGTGGTTTTTCCACTCAGCGGACGGAGGAACTGGCCTACAGTGATCTGGCATGTGAAAGATGCTGGAGAGAGGAAGCTGTCCTAACATGGCAAACACCCAGCAATGAAACACAGAGAGCCACACAACATCCGAAGCAGAGTTTGCCACCCCCGAAGGCGTTCAGCAGAGCGCAGCTTGAGAAAATTGGACATTAAAAAAACACATCACACATCCCGACCTTGGAATGATACGGTTTCTTGTGCCGTGTTTGGTCAGAAATGAGTTATTCACATTAGAAAGGGACCTCAAATGTAGCTATCTATACTTGTTTTTGAAAATAGTTTTGGATAATGGAAAAGGTTACAGTATATTAGTTTTGCTATTTGAGATATCAAAATGCCTCTCATTGCAGACAGCGCTGTGCACTGTAATTTTGAGCCTGCAATTTTGTAATTTAGCTCCAAAATACAGACAGAGTCAATATTAGCAGGGCTGTAGCTATCACTGGGGACACTGAGGTCACGTCTGTATTTTTAGGCATGCTAGCTGCTAGCTCTAGGGATGGCAACGTCTGTCTGTCTGTCTGTCTGTCTGTCTGCTGGTCATTCCAGTCCACCACTTTGGTCCAGACTGAAATATCTCAACAACTATTAGATGGATTTGAAAATGTCGTTCAGACATTTGTGTTCCCCAGAGGAGGAATCCTACTGGCTTTGATGATCCTCTGACTTTTTCACTGGCATCAAGTTGGATTTGTCCAATACATCGGTTTCTGACTACTTAATAGCGAAATTGATGACATTTGCATCAGCAGAGTCAGCTCCACAGGGCAGTGCCCCCCCACTTCATTCCCTGAGCCCCCTCACCTAAAGGCATGTCAATATTTTCTCACGACTGTGGTAAATGGATATCCATTGGAAAGCTTGACTGCAGTTACATAATGTTTAACATTTAGAATTCTAGTTTTTAAACTGTTGTCGGCTATAGTTTAAGTTAACTAACCTATAATCCCATTTGCCGCCACAGATTTGAGAAAGCGGTCGACCGGCTCAAGAACAATAAGTTCAGCACCCAGGTGTGACGATGTCCCTTTCTTTTTAGTTGTCTGAGTTGCTGTCAGTGTCCTTTATATTTACACCTAAGTGATTCCTACTTGTGTTTTTAGTCTTAGATTATTAGGAAAGAGACAAGAATGCACTATTATTGTGTTTTTTTTCTGTAAGTTTTCTCTTGAGCAGCATGGTTTCACTTTCACTCTGCATGACTACCTTTCCACATGCCAGTAATTTGGTGTTCCCTTTGGAAATTTGTTTGTTTGTCTATTTTATGCTAATTAGCAAATGTTATTGTCATTGCGTGAATGTTAGCATGCTGACATTAGCATTTAGGTTTTAGCAACGCACAAAGTCCACATTTTAAATTTAGTGTGTTGGCTTATTCTAGTGCTTTTAGACTCGTAAGCCTCTATGTTTAAATGTTTACTCCTTTTTGGACATCAAAAAACAATAAATGAATATAGAATCATCTACAACTGTATTAATTATTTTTGTGACAGAAAATAAACTAAACAGAAGATCTACTTACGGGCTTTTTGGCTGCTTTCAACTACATCTTATGCTCTATTTTGTCTTTAATCAGCATTTCACACTTTATTTTATTGGCATGTAATTTCCCATAAAGTTCTGGAAAGAATTATGTAATCTGGCATTACTTGAAGGGAGAATAGAGACAAAGCTGTGAGACAATTTAAGTTTAGTCTGTAAGCAGTTGTTGATTGCCAGAGACATTTACATGAAAGAACGGCTCCATTTTTACTAAAACTTAGACAGAAGATTAAATTCAGCAGTTAACTGAATAAATCAATGTGAAAAATCCAACTTTCTCTGGAGAGTTTGGGATTTTTACTGATGACATCAGCATTTATAAAATCCTGGCTACAGCCCCGAATAATAAAAGTGCAACATCACGATGCATTCAAAAAATGCAAAATTTTGGGAGCAGAGACAGAAAAACAAAGAGCAAAACCACAAAGATCATAGAAGAAAACAAGAGAACTGTAAACTCATTCAGTCACTCATGTCAGCCATTAGTTTGTAAGTGTCATTGTCCTCATTTTCAAAATGGCATGATTTCACAGTTACACTCATCATCTGCAAGGATGAGTCCAGAGAGGCATGAAAATGACAAGACAACAAGTCTTACTGGGAACAAGAAAACAAACCCGATTAGATTAAAGAGCGTGCAGAGGAATGATTGCGGTCATAAGATGCATGGCAGTGGCCCAGAGAATAATCATCCACTGCCAGACACCAAACAACATCTGGAGCTGGCAGAGCACCATCAAACACTGAAATTACAAAAACTAATAAGGAGGAATGTGCATATAGGCAGGGACATTATCACGTCTCAAACTTAATCTGAGACAATATGGCGTGAGATGGAAGAATCAAGTTTAAGTCTGACCTCGCACTGAATCACAGTAACTTACATTGCCAAAAGTATGTGGACACCCAAACATCACGCCTGATTGTTGAACTTTTAATTCCAAAATCATTGCTGGTATATTAAGTATGAACATTTGATGAAGACACTCAGTTTCGTGTCATTTCTTTCAGTGAAATGAGACATTATAAATAAAGTTTATTCAAAATCACTGATTGGTCCGTACTCATAATGACATAGGGCTGCACCAGCTCCTAAAACCTTTCAATATTAAACCTTTTTGTCCTTTATGTTGAGCCATAATGTTTTTATCATAGTGCCTTTGGTTCTGTAGGTGAAGCTAAACGCGGCCTGTGGCGCCCTCCAGCGGGAAGAAGCGGAAGTACACATGCTCACCTGTAAAAAGAAAATAAAAGTGATGGATGCAGCAGTCCAGAAATAGCTCAGACACACACACACACAGAAGAAAAAAAAAAAAAAAAAGCTGTGCGTCAAAGTCCAGTTCCGGTTACATGATGCGTCTAACAGCTTCCCCATGGTCGGATTGTGATATTCCTAATTTATCTATGCAAAAAAAAAAAAAAAAAAGGCTTGAATTTGCGTTTTAGGACCCTTAGCTGTTTTCTCCCACCTTAACAGAGTGTCGTATGCGCAAGTAGTTTATGTAATGGAAGCAGTTCTGACACAAAGGTGATGACTGGGTGGTTTTTAGGGGCTTTAAAATACTTTGTGGGGAACTTATATGGTACCTTTATCATGTTTATTTCTATATTAATCGGTTAATAGTGCATTTTATGTTACAGTGGCTTTAAGGTGCGTTTTTATAACATTAATTGAATATAAATTATCATCATACATTGATGTTATCGTCCATTATGGAGTTTTTTATACAATGCTATCACTACAATATCCCTTGTGGACTGGAAACGCCCTCTTTTTTTGTGTTTCTGACAGACAAAAAAAAAAGTGGTCTTCCTGAAAAATATATTATTCTTCAGTGGCATAATGTGGTTGGGTTTGAGTGTGTGTCAGAGTCAGGGAGGCGGGAGGGGGCACACACACACACACACACACACACACACACACAGAGAGTCTCTGCTGTGACTGTGTATCACTTCAGATGCTCAGACAGAATTAAAAATGCGCTCCTCCGCCTTGTCACCAGTGTTGTGCGCATTTTCTTGACAAGCCCGTGTTCCCACAGCATGGTGCTCGGACTCAGAGGCTCAGCACTGTCTTCATACATAACCATTAAACTCTCTCGGACGCCTAATTAGACAGCAGAGCACGCACAGCGCCGCGCAGCACCTGTTCCCACCTTCAGAGAGAAGGTAAGTTATTTTTTGAAGCGTAAAAAAAGAAAGTGCGCCCGGTTGCCATGCTTAAAAAATAGACTCCTCGAAGTAAAAATGCAGCGGGAGTTCCTGGAGAGTTGGCACATGCATGCTGGCTGCAGGCTACACTATCTGTATTTATATATTTTCTCCTCCCTTTCAAGGTTTTCTTTCTGTTCTCAAGTTCAAAGCGCGTTGGCGTTTGTTGTTTAACGTAGTTTCCGGTCAGCAGGGGACGTCTTGGTAAACAATGCTGCTCGGTGATTCATGCATGTGTGACATTCAAGCGATGCCAATTAATCAATTAGCGATCAGGACAATCATGGTACGTTTCCGAAGCGGTGATGTCACCCAGGCTGTCCCACAGTTGCAGCCCATCCAAAGCCAAAAGTAGTGACTGGATTTAATTATGAGAGAAGTTTTCAGTCTTCAGAAAGTGAAAAATGAGGCTTTTTTCTTTCTAATTGTTTCATCCCGGCATTGAAGACACAAAGTGTAGGTGTCTAATTATTGCCAGCCACAGGTTTATACTCAGGTTGTCAAAGGGAGCTGTTGTTCTCAGTGTGTGCACTGACAGCAGGCTTTCTTTAAATGTCTGTAAGTGTTTTGTCCAGAGACAATAAAAGCCTTTAAAAGTTTGATTCTTTGCATACACGAGTAGAAGTTCAGTTTGATTTTCCTGCAGCTGACATTTCAACCTAAACCCTGCACCCACGATGCAATATCTCACAACTACAAAATCTTGCTTTAGGTGTAAAATAATGCACCAATGCACCATTACCAGCCAGGACAATGTTCAATTAGCCACTCAGACGTTTTTATTTTTTGAGTATCTTGATCTCTTGTCTTCCCTCTGAGGGCAAAGTGAATGTAATCTCACACCATTGGACTGTTACATAACTTTAAAACTGAAGTGCCATCCTGCCTGCGTGGGAGTAGATGTGATGTTCCCACTTCCTTGCTGTTGTTTTGCTCGTTAATTCTGAGAGGCACATTACTGTAAGTGGCGTTTTGTGACTTTACATGACTGCTGGTTTTTTTTTTTGGGGAGGAGGGTTTTTTTTCTTTAATGCAGATGATGCCCCTGAGGAGGACTGATTGCCTCATAAATTCTCTCTGTGATTATGTAGCCTACCTACATGAAGTCTGTGATTGTTGAATGTGGAATGACATGTTAATATTGAAGGTGGCATGACCAAATGTGTGTATATATTTATGTGTGTGTGTGTGTGTGTAGGGGGGCTGCATTCTGCCCTGTGTTGTGTAGGAGGAGTGTGATCGCAGTGTGCCCGAGCATGACGCTAAGAGCTGTTGGACAGAGTTCAGTCCTTTGCTGAGCAGTCTGTCCTCTGTGCTGGAAGTGGTGCGCAGACAGACACATTACAGTAACCTGACTCATGTATATGGCAGGCTTCCCCCATCACTGCTCAGGAATTGTGTCATCATCATGCAACACAACACAGAAAACCAGCATTAAAATTTTTTTTGCTTCATTCCTGATGCAAATGTCCACCATTTTGAAAATTTTGGCAGCTACTTATATAAAATGATGGTCAGTATGCAAGAAAAACTATGTGGATTGTTTCAGTTGTTTTTCAGTTGTAGGACATTTCTCATTATGTAAAACCACTGTGCACTTACTGACCAGGGACAGTTTCTATAAGTAATGTTACATAATCTTATTATTGGAAACTGCTAATCAAAAGCTGAGCACTGAGCTCATATAACTGTGACATAACACTTTATTTTGTGGGTATGTTACTTTCCTACTAGATTAGCCCTTCTAGAAACAAGCCAAATATTCTTAAATATAAAACATAGAAATCTAGCCTCTGAAAGACTGTAATGGACATTAAAACTAGAAAGAAAATCCAAAAAAACGTAAGCAAGTTGTGCTTATTATAAGCAACGTAAACCCAGCTATTTAAGATAAGATAGACAAAATATTTTTTTCACTTTTTTGAGCTGAATTCAAAAATTTGTTCCTAATCTGAGATTAATAATTAGCCAAAAAAACTTACAATAAGACACAATTTCTTCAAACAGCTCCAGAAGCATTCTTATTGTTAGCATTTTCTATTAAGACAATGAAAAACTACTAGGACAAGAATATTTTCTCTTAAACTGAGCAAGTTGTGCAAGTGGTCTTACTCTTCAGATAAGGAAAATAATTTTTTTCCCCCTGCTGGGATATTATGTAAACCATTGTTGTAACTTGTTACTGGTTAAATTTAGCTCAATATGAGTCTTAACACAATGTTAGATTCAGACGAGACTCAAGACGAGATTACTTTTGGACACGATTATTTTTCTCTTTAGACAAAAAATAAGACTCATTTCCCAGAAACAAGGGAAACTGACAGTTAACTCTTATTTAAGGATATTTACTGGCAACGTGTTATGTAATGTGGTAGGAAATGGAAAATGGAGAAATTGTTCAGGTGGTACCGTTGATACTCGCCCATTATTGAGTTTTAAAGAAAGAACTTAAAAAGGAAAACGTTTACAGTGTGTCTGTAAAGCATAAACCTAACTTTCAAATTAGTTTTTACTTGGTCATCGAGTGGACCTCAGTCAGATAAAGAATTGTTACACTCAATAATTAAGAATTTGAATGGCCACTTATAAATTGTACAAACTAAACACTTTTTTATTTATTTTCCTTATAATTATTACCAAATTAGATTCAGCTTGCTGAGAAATTAGTAACTTGGCTTTTATCCCATATCCCACAGAGTTTTAGATTTATTTAATGCTGGTTTAAAGGTCCAGTGTTTAACATTTAGGAGGACCTATTGGCATAAATGGAATATAATATTCACAAGTATGTTTTCATTAGTGTATAATCGCCTGAAAATGGGAATCATTGTGTTTTTGTGACCTTAGAATGAGCTGTTTTTATCTATAGAGGGAGCAGGTTCTCTTCTACAGGGTACACCATGTTTTTTTGCAAGTTTCACGGCCAAGCTGTATTCAAATGGCTGCAATCTGCAACTTTATCACTAGATGCCACTGAATCCTACACACTGGTCCTCTAATGCCCTTTTTTAAAACCCCTATTGTAAGTACTAACTTACGTTTGTCTAACTCATGCAGAACGGAGCGGACTACTCTCATTGGACCACCCTGTATAAATAAAGATTGAATTAAAAATGTTACTAGTTAGTTATTACTAAAAGTTACATACTTGAAAAGAAAACTTCCAGGAAGTTGGAATGGATTTAAGGGACCTGCAAAATAAAGCATCACTGAGAGTAAATGTAAAAAATCAACAACAAAACACAGATGAGACATGAGAGCACTGCTATTTGATCTCAGCCCCATAATCAAATATCAGTGTATTCAATGCAGCACTCCAGTGATAAAGTGATACAATGTGGAGGTTACCATCTAGTTGCTGGCATCTTTCCTGATGAGATGTGCTTAAGACATGATTTTGTTAGCACCCATTAGCTCCGAGTTCACTGCTGCTGTTTGCATAACTCACTTTTTAGTTTCCATAGTACCACTTTTGGGCACTAAGACTCAACCAGGAAGTGTCTTTGTCAAAATTCACCTATAAAAGTTGTGTTTTATGGAGGTTTCTTTTGCAATCAGAGCCGGATTTTTCCAAGGCTTATTTTTGTATTCTTTTTTAGACTGGTGGATAAATTCTTCAATACAGACAATGTGACGTCAAGCTGGAGATGTTACAGGATACAAATCTTATTATTTGGTGTCAGTATCAGAGTGTAAGGATAGAATAACTCCCTATTAAGTAAAAAATACTACTGTGATTGGAGTCAGATATCCCTTTCTGAAAAGCTTTGAGACAGATTTAGATATTCACAAGTGATTGTAATAGAGCAGAACTTGAAAAGGAAGAGGTCTGAGTTGACATCCTCCCTGTTCGGCCGCTTCAGAGAGAACAATATTAATGCAGGCTTTTGTCCTCTTGTGGTCACTCTAACACAATCTGAAAATGGATGATGAAAGTGATCCCTCATTGTCATTGTCAAGTCTATGCTGATTCATACGAGGGCGTAGAAAGCCTTGAGAGGCCTGGAAAATGAAATAATGTCCGAATGTTAGGCAATTAGAAAGATGTACTAAAGTCATATGGGCAAAATAGTTTTTAACCCCAAAAATTGGCTGTTAATTAATTGTCCTGTCATGTGTTATCATCATGTTTTTTTGTTTTTCTTTGGAAAAAAAACATCTGATTGAAGTCTGATTTAGAGAATGATATTAAACTAGGGTCTCGAAAGGCGGTTAAATTGCAAAAAGTCTTGGATGCCTGTGCTTCCATTGCTTTTTGTAAAATATCTACTTGAAACATCCCGAACAAAACTTTAAAAAGCACATTTTTTAAAAGGTATTATTCACACTCACTTATCAAAAACCTCTGACATTACCTAACAGTCCTTTACAAAAATAACATTTTGTATGAAGTGCTCCTCATGTCGATCCGTCATTAGTCACACTGTGAATCACACAACCATCCAGAGGTCAAAACAGATCAGAAAAGGCGAGATATGTGACGTTAAAAAAACCTTTTTAAGAGCACAAATCCCCCACAAATATTGTTAAATATAAATAATATTTACATTTCCCTATCATAATTCTTTTTTCTTAAAAATGTGAATATTTGCAATCCATTAAGGCTGCTATTCAGCATCCAATCTTGTTTTTTAATTTTAAAAAAATGTGTGAAAACTCTTACAGCATGGTGAGATTAGAGTTGTTTTGTGTTTAGAGAAGTGACAGTAACAAGTGACAGCGTCTTGGAAAAAAGTTGTTTTTTAGTTTTCACAGGAGACAAGTGGATGGATTGGAACTAGATTGTTATTCTGGCAAGTTTTCTCAGCTTATTATCAGAAAAATTAGATTTCAAAACTCAGCGATGACCCGTTCAGATGGACGAATTTGGCACTGCGAGACGATTTCAGCCTTCACAAAAAAAGCTCAAAGCATGGTGAGAAAAACAAGACATGGTAATGAATATTCACCAGTCGTTG